AGTCTTTGAACAGGGATTGGGTAGATGCAAAATAAGCTCAACGGGATTTTCAATTAATATGCACTGAAATAGTTTGACTAAATTCTATGAAAAGAACAAATGCTAAAGATAATCATTTGTCATATGCAAATATATAGTTATATGCTGCCATGCTACATTTATATGCATATTAGTATCACCTCCTGCAAATATTTCCTCTTTAGAGTCTTTAAGACAAGGACAGCAGATCCATGCTTGCGTGCGTTTTACATCAGCAAACATTTTGCATTACAACAAAAATCTCTCAGAATTATTTCATGATATGATTTTGTTTCCAGTATCCATCTAATCACTAAAAATGTATTCTTTTTCACACTTCTCCCAGGACAAAGTAGGAATAGTAAGGAATAGTATTAAAGCGAGGCTCAGAGTTAATTATGCAAGACATCTGTGATTATATGTAAAGTCTGGTTGATATTGTGTCTCCATCATTTGAAGTCAAGACCAAATGCCCCACTGACCTCAGGAGTACAGGTCTAGCCCCTTGACTAATAAACAGTTTTTATTATTATTTTATTGTACTTCTGTAAGTTCTTGCTCTGCCACAGCTACTGATGTTACATAAAAGCCAACGCTCTGCAGGGACAACAAGAATGTAAAGAAGGAGGCTGTCAGTCACAAATAGTAATTAGATATGCTGGTTAAACTATCACGTAAGGTAACAACAACGCATCATATTAGGACTTGTTCATGTAGCTACCTGGAGCCTGGTGTTGCAGAGAATAAATGCATACCTAATTGTTGGAACTTTGACTTTAATGCCTTGGGAAAGTATTTACCTTTAGAGAACCTTAAGCTGCTTGGTCAACATTTACTCTGTACCTTTAACCAAATGGGAAGGTTTTATATGTAACCATTAAACAAACAAGTAGTGGCAAACAAGTTTATGGTATATTGGTATATAAAGGCTTTTAGCATTTTTAAAAATAATTTCCCTCATGATAATAACATGCAAATTTTTTCTATCATTTCCCCAGTCTCAGACCAAATGCCTTTTGGCAAAACTGGGAAGTACATGTTTATTCTGTCAGATTTCATTTCTTAAGAAAAAAAATATCCTTTGTATAATGTAGTCATCATTCAGAGAACATATAAATCTTACACTGATACTCCATTCATATGGGTTTTTTTTAAACTGTCATGCCAAATTAATCCCTGGTGCAATATTGTGTCATCAGTGAAGCTGTGCTACTTGCTTGCTTGGACTCTTTAGTTCTAATGGAAAGATTTATCTTTCCAAAGAGTTTCTCTGTCTTCAGTACTTACTACATGGACCCTTGCAAATCTTGCCTGTTTTGCTGCTATTGCCTCTTTTCCTTATATAGTGTATGTTTTCCTTCTTTTTTTAATCATGGTTTTCTTTATTGGAATGTGCAGAAGGTTTTCTCATACATGCAAAATAAAAAACCCACTGTGATTTATACAGGTACAGTTATGCAACTTTATTTAGCTTTGTTGTGTTTATTGCACTTAATGAAATAATTTGTTATTGATAATGAGTAATTTTGCAGGTAAATTATACCTGATTAAATGCAATAGCTTGTTCTCCTTTGCTTGTATATTTAATTGCTAGAACCAAGACTGTCCTGTGTGTTGAGATCATTGCTGAATGGAGGGGGTTTCTTTAATTGCAAAGACCCAGGTTTGATGAATATTTTAAATACTTTGTCTGTGATACTGTACACAGAATATCCACAAGAGGGAACCGTTTTACATAAAAAGGAGTCATTTCCTTGCTGCCCAAATACTGCTTTCTGGAACTAAACCCTCCGGATTTATGTCAAGCTGGCATGATTGTCCCCCGTACTATGCTATATGGTAGCAACAGGAAAAACACAGGTAAACACAGTGTTTATTGTGTTCTGTAAATAGTAGTCAGTTAAATAAGTAAATTTTGAACTCTCTTGTTGAAATATTAAATAGAAAACTAAACCAAAAACGAATCCACTTAAGTTTGTGTTTGCTTGGAACAGATCTCTCCAGGAAACAGAGCTGGAAAGCCTTGTTTGGTCTGAAGGCAATGTGAAATGCAGTTGTTGCATCTGTAAATGAAGCATGCAGCCCCGGTGTGCTCTTTCAAGCTCCCCTTTATAAAACCTGTGCTAGAAAGCAGGCCTTTCCTTATTCATAAAGGAGTAAGCTCAAATGGTACTTAACTTGAGTGATACTCATTCAAGTATCATTTGTATCTCTGTCTACAAACCGGTGAACCAAATACAGTTACCCACTTTATATATATGCTTTGTCTTTAGCAGATAATTCCCATTAAGCAAACTTTTCACTGGTAATGTAAGTCTCACCAGTTGATAGCAATGAGTTTGCCTTTGTATGTGAGTTTTGTCATAAGTATTTGTAGAAGTGAGACCTATTTGTATAAATAAGAGGAGTTCTGTTTATACAGATAACAGGAAAGATTTTTCCCTGGATATATAGTGTGAAATTTATCAACTAAAACTCCTAATGTATGTGTTAGTTGGTTTATGAATGGTTTTTGAGCAGCAGAACTTAAAATCAGCTTTTTACAAATGATCACAACAAATCTCCTACCCCTGTCCAAATCTGTGTGTAAATGTTGTGTAAACATGTTCAGAGCAAATTATTTTAAAGTACAGTCCATACCCTGTGGTGCACTTGGCTTGCTTTAGTCTGAATTTTTCATTAGGACCATCCTTTTTTATTTGTGGGTACAGTATTATGGGGATGCTATTTTAGAAGTGCCTAATGGTCCTGTTTGCATTTGGAGTGCTCATGAAACCAATGGCTGCAGCACACAGCTGCAACAGCACCTGCAGTCACAGAAATACTTTTCAACTCATACCTTCTGAATGTATAAAGTGAGAAAACAGATTTTCAAACTGTGGCCTCTGTCAAATCTCCTGGGCCCTCTCAAACAGCAAGAGAAGACGTATGTCATATCCGTGGCTTCAGAGACCCAGCCCTTGTTATCTATCAGAGCAGAATACAGAAGCCCCACCGTGCAAAAGCCTTCCCTGGGATACGCTGTGCTACTGCTGCTCACTGCTCAGGTCTTTCGAGGTGCACAGGGCTTGTGGTTTCCATTAGCTGTAAGAGCGTCTGTAAGTACCCGGCACTTCTGAAGATCAGACATCGAGTGGCTGTGTTACGACGCTCCTGCCCTTGCTCCACTCCTGGTGTTTGCTGATGGATAAAAGGATCCCTAGGTATTCGTGCAGCCGTGAAAAGGCTGCTCCTTGAACACCAACCCAGAAACTCAGAGCAAATGACCATCAGGACGAGGTTCTGAGGCCAGGTCCCAAAGTGTGTGATTCTGCCACGATGACACTTTGTGGCCCAGGTGGCTATCTAGTTGTGGGGAGGGTTGGTGATGACAGACATGGGGGGGAGGGGGGCAGGGGTAGCAGCTGCAGCAGCACAGTCTGGGGTTGCACGTGGCAGCTGTGACATGCAGTTTCTTTTCAACATGACTTGTTTTCTGCACCTAGAAACCCTCCACTTAATTCCCTCTTACTACAGCCTCCTGGGAAGGGGCTGCTTCAGGTGCACTATGTAGCTGACTATCCGCTTTCCTCTGGGATATGGTAATGTAGTATTTCCTCAGTTGTATATACCTCCATATTATTGTCTAATGCTTTCTCTATTCAGAGGCCTCTATTAATCCCTTCTTGAAAAAGGAAGCCCTCTCTTGAAGGAACAGACTGGAGGAACAGACTAGAGTGAGACATCATGATAAACTTACAAAGTTAGACAAGTGGTGGTGTTACTGCATAAAAAGTGGAGGTGAGAGGGTTAGAGGGCCCCATAAAAAGCTTTGAGCACTCATAAAATCTCATTACCATCGGTTAAGTAGAAAACAAAAATAAACAAAGCCATGGCAGATGCAGAAGGAGGAACTACTACTAGTAAAGGTTAAGAGATTACTATTTCATAATGGTGGCTCCGTGTAGTGACTAGATCAGATGGGGAAATGTCATGGACACATAGGCTGTTGGTTCTTACCCTTGGAAAGATGTCAAGAGGATCTGCATAATAGTTTGGGCAGGCAACCGAGTGAGCAGACCATGTGCCAAAGGGAGATTTTAATTTATATACAAACAGAAATAAATAGATATATATAAAAAATAAATTCCTCCACTTTTCAGTGGGAATCTGAAAAAAAAGCTGGAGACGACTATCCAGATTTTCTTGCTGCCCTCCCCTCCCCCCGCCCCCCGTCCAGTGTGTCATTCTGAATTGCTATTTCTGTTTCTAAGGGTTAATTTCAGGAACGTTCTCGGCATGTGCAGCAATCTACGGTGCGTTTGCGGAGCCTTTGCAGTATTTCCCCGTCTCAATTAAAGACACACCAAGAAAGCCTTCAGCGGAAAGACCCACGCCACGGTTCCTCGATACTTATGTCACGCTCCCGCGCCGCGTTTCCACCCCCC